ACGCAAAAAAGAAAAAAAAAATGTTTACTGGAAGTGTCGCGAAAAATATTTTGTTCTTTCCATATTCCATTTTCTCTATCCACCCAGAGAAAGATCAAGTTGAAATTGATCCAAGTCGTGAGCGCCGTCCCAAGCCCACCCTCATAATAAATTCCAGCCACCATTATACATCCCCGCGGTAACTAATTAAGTTGTCTGCTTTATGGGCCATCGACATAGACCGTTAGGCGAACCGCTCGGCTGGATTTGCCTATCGTTTGCGTTAAGCTGGCAATTAACTGACACTCGATTTACAGCTTTAACCTTTGTCTTATGTTTTGAGTCTCGTTTAGTGGGCCATCAAGGCTCCGCTCACAACCCAAATTCGTTGTGTGTCATAGGGATACATCCTCCATTTTCATGAAGTTCGCTCCGTATTTCTGAATAGTTACGGACGAGGAAATCGATGGCTTTTTGTTATTATCAGATCGGACAACATGCAGTATGTTCATGCAGTGAATGTTGATGCGAGTACTAATCATTTAATGATTATACGTGTAGTTACTACAGTTTACAATGAATGCATAGATACATGCAGGTTTATAAATATTCTGGGTGAATACATGTTGATATTGAGTAAAGTACAGAAAAAAGCACAGTAATAATTAACTTATGGAAAGATATGGTGGTTGTTCACTGGTAAAAAAAACCTCTTGGTTCAAGATTGCAGTTTCTTGTCGCCGGATTTAAGAGTCTGGACTCTTGATTCAATGCAAAATCCGCTTGAAACAAGCGTTCAAGACTCTTAAATCCGGCGACAAGAAACTGTACTCTTAAGTCAATGCAATGCGGCATTGGTCCAAGAGGGTTTTTTTTTTACCAGTGTTGGACCTACAGATCAAGGAATAAAGAATCTTAATGTGTAGTTACGCCCTTATGTCAGCCAAGCGACGATTTAAACCTGTTGAAACGGAAACGGTATTCGGGAGAAGGACTGGGATTGCGGAGTTTATCCTCATATTGCCAAGAAGCGCTGCGGCGCGCCTTCATTTACATGCATAGGCAATAGAATACTTCAGAGTTCGAATAGTTGCTCATACGCCTGATTAGTTCGAACACAGATTTAAAAGGAACGACGCACCGTTTAGTTCTTCAAGATGAAGTGCACAGAAACGGCTCGCAATCATCTAATTCGTTCATTCTAGAATTCGCAATTATTTAAGTAGCTAAGCGGTGAAAATTTATAATACAGCTGATCGAGCCAAAATTACATGTAACATGCTTTTCACGCACAACTCTAGGTGCGCCAGTGAAACGAGCGTATTACGCAAAACGTTTTGCATTACCTAATATTTTGATTAGGAAACTACCCAGAAAATATTTAAGTCGTGCAAAGAATTGTTCGACCTTAAAGTAACGTTTATCGTAAAAATAGAGGCCGAAGATATTATCCTTGAATCTGTATTCCTTCCCTTTATCCAAGAGATCCACGCGTTCCGTGCCCTAAAATGCATGCAAAGGAGGCAAAGAAATCATACGGAAAATCTGCTTGCATAGAATATCTGCCACCCAAGACAAATGAAACGTTTTTCACTCGACAGAGGACCCGTTAGGAAATTTTTAACCTCGCAACCTCGCACACTAGCAATATTTTGAATGGAATCAAGAGCATTTTTCCTTGTCAATGTTTTCAAGAGTCCAGACTCTAGATCCAATGTGTTTTTTTTCCCGTGCACTATCTTTTATGTTGCAATCGTTCCGAACCGAGCCCCGATTTTCATAAGGCGGCGACGCGCAAGAAACTAAACTATTGCGCGGAAATCCGGCAGTGAGGACCAGCGAACTACTCGCTAGTTACACACGCTCTTTTGATTACTTTTGCTCGCCTCCTCGCTTTGCTGCGAGTTAAAAGGCGCTCCCCGAGGAATCCGCGGGTCGTGGGGTTCGGTGGGGGGGGGGGCATGCGGCGGGGTGGCCGAAAATCATGCTATTTTTCACCGAGTCGCGTCTCGACACAGCGACGCGTCGCGGGGGTGCGCCCCAGCGCTTTGAAAAAACATCGCAACATCACCCAGGTGTTGCCAAATTTCCGCCCCTAAAGTGTGCAATTTTGTCGAACGGTATGAGAATGTCTCCCTGTAATATTCATTAATACTAGATTTGATAGTAAGAAATAGAGTCCCTTTATACCGAGAGTCTAGACAACACCCCTCATGGAGTCACAAACGGGAATAAAGATTACACAAATTGAGCGTTTTTCGTAATCTTTGATCGGCTCATTCTTAAATTCCTTTCTCCGTTCCTTCTCTCATTCCGTTTGTTCCTTGTCGAACCCGAAATTCCTCGGTCCATTCCAGATGATAATCTTTGCAATTGGTGAAAATGTAATCTTTATTCCCGTCTGTGACACTGTGAAGGCCTAAATCCGGTTAACCAATCAGAAATGGATTCGCATTGTCTTGACTCTCAGTATAAAGGGACTCTAGTAAGAAATATTTACTGAAAAATCCGAAGGGGAAGGGGGCTCACGTTTTCTGGAAATTCGTATTTTGTCGGAAGAAATTTGGCAACGCCGAAGTGTGCTTACGGCGTTTTTCCCTCTAGCACAACAGTGCGGGTCCGCAGCTCGGACGGCGAGAAAAATTGTTCTCGTCAGGCGGCTACCACTCAGATCTCGTCTTCCGCTGCTGCCAGACAAAAGGGAAACCCGGCGTGGGTTTGACAGCCAATCCAGAGGTCCTGTCTTCTCGCCGACCAATCGCGTGCAGTTGAGCCGAAGAGGTGCATCCGATCCTGAACGTGAGACCTCGGAAGAAGCACCGACGCAAGATTTAGAGCTCGAGCCGGAACTCGGGTAAACTTGTCTTGTCCGACGCTTTCCAATTAATTAAATGCCGCATCCTCCCCGTGAGAAGGTAATTGGCCTTCTGGAATGGATTGCAACCAGTGGCGTGGCGTGAATGATCGATTATCGATATCTCGCCATTTGAAGCTATGGTAAAGAATCGATTAATAAGGTGTTCGCTGCGAACACCCTGATAATCGATCTTTTTTCATAGGTTTGAGTGGCGTATCAATCGATATATCGCAAAGCACGCCACGCCACTGATTGCAACGTCTCGGGACGATATTTCCCGCTGTTTATGCGTGTTCTTCACGGGGCTTTTCTTGTAGTTTCATCAATAGAGAAATCACTCTTTGTTTCCGTGATGCTATGAGGCGAGAAGGTGAGAGCTAGAGCTCCGAGTGGAACGTTAAAATTTGAGCTCTGCGCTCCAATAATTTACGAAGTGGTTATTCGGCGGTACGGTTCTGTCGAATAAGACGTCATTTGGCGGTACGGTGTACCGTCGAACACAACGTTATTCGGCGGTACGGTACCCTGACTAGAAAATCTTCTACACCGATGAAAGAAGTGAAGTTGATTTAACATTCTGGATGTCAAAAAAGCGTGCGAGAACTTTCGAAATGCTGACTCACCCGCGACAGCAGTTACTTTAGCAATGCTGCTTTTTCTGACAAATTGATTGAAATATAATGCTCCGACCAAAGGTGGAACACGTACTTCACGTTGCTTTAAAACCCTTTTCCACCGATTTTCCAAATTGTCGACGTCCGCGATCGCGATGACCGATGAAGTTAAGAAAAAAGTAGTATCACGTACTTTTCGTCCGAAGTCCTTAACTTTTGTGAGAAGGGCCGTGCAAATTTCTGAGGGGCCAGCCCGCGACCACCCCTAAATAACGCCCACTTGTTATCGTCTCCACGCTTTCGCGGCCGGAAGTGCTGCGGCAACGCGGACCGGTCCTCGTCTCATTCGATTATGCCGTGCAGCCGAACCGCGAACTTGTGCGCGCAAAGAGATTTTCCGTCCGAATTCGAGGCGTTTAGCCTGCGCCGCGGCGCGCCGAAACGCAGCCGACCGCAAATTTGAATTGTTAACTTGCGGAATCCCGGGTCTCGTGCATTGTGCACCCGTTGCTTTACGGCCGCCTTTATTCCCGCGTTTTTTCACCACCCCCCCCTCCCCCCCGGCCCCGCGGTGTGTCGGTCCGTCCCGCCGCCTCCGTCGAGGCCGTAAGTACATACGCTCGCCTCGGGGCCGCGCCGTAATTGTTCTAATTCCGGCTCCGAAAATATTGCGCGGGTTTTTCGGAGCCGCTGAAGAATTTCCGCCGGCTAAGTTCTCCCGAGGCAGAGATTCCGCGTGCATTACACTTAATTTAATGCCGGGCGAGATCATAAAAAGCAACGTTTTGCGGATTTCCGTGTCAAGACCCTGGTTCTATCAGCTTAACGGCCACATCCTGTAGAATTGAGTCGTTATCAGGAAGAGTGGTGCAAGCTTCCGAGTTGCGAAATTTCCGAGGTCCGTTCCAAGCGTGTAGTCCACCGGCTCAGTTGTTATCGCTCAGTGATGGCGAATAATTAGTAATTATATGATTCTCTCCCTCATGACCTCTTAATTGAATGTGAGAAATACTAAGGCAAAGTATATCTTAAGGCTCTATAACTAATTTATTGGCGATTTTCTTGCGTTCTCAACAATTTTTCCCGCGCAAAATCAGTTTCAAATATTTGTCGAGAGTCATTTGGATGATTTTAATATTATAGCTGAATTCAATTTGTTGAGAAAATTTTCATAAATGGATGTCAATTTCACGCTGTACACATCTGTTCTATCTGTCGAGGCTTTTCCGCTCGGTATCAGTGTTCAATCTGTATTTTTTCAAGATCTCCCTCGGTCATGATTCCTGGAAGAAAAAGAAGAAAAGAAAAGATAATGGTGTGTCAAAATCCACTCCTACTTTAGACCTTTCCTGAGAGGATAGAAACAAATATTTTTAACATTAGGTGCGCGTCTATCTGCAAAGAATTTTTAATGTATAAAAGAGAAAATTGAAAAAAAAAATAGAACTCGAGTTGGGTGGTTTTGGAACTAACACGTTCAAATATTAATGGCTCCTAATAACAAACACCTCTTCATCGGCATAAATTTCAGAAAAAATGTTTGTTTCCAGTGTTCCAGGACATTAATGTGATGATATTTATCGGATTTGGGTTCCTGATGACATTCCTTCGGAAGTATGCATTCAGTGCAATCAGCTTCACCCTTCTCATAAGCGCCATCACCATTCAATGGGCAATTCTGTGTCACGGCTTCTACCAGCTCATCGCCGGAGAAAGAGTCATACGTGTCGGAATTAGTCAGTAAGTAATCAGCGTTTCTTTCTCTAACAACGGTGGTCGGTAGAAACTTGTCTAACCGCGATGGCCGCAGGAAAGCGTGATTTTCACCATTTTCCTAGGCGAAAACAGAGATGACCAATCTGCCATACGATAGCGTTGAGGTAAAAATTTAAAAAAAATTGACTTTCCTAGCCCCAGAGACATCTTTTCCTCACACCGCCCATTCGGATCTATTAAAAAAATTGGAATTTCACTCCGGCCTAGTTCAGTTTTTCAGTAGGATTTTTCTATTGATTATTTGAAGATAACTGCAACAGGAGATCAACAAAATTAGTTTTGATGAAACGCCTGTTTATGGGCCGGTACGTATGAGCTTCATATATAGGTGCAAAAATACATCCTAATGAAAGAATCAAACGTTAAATTAAAAAAAAAGAGTGTGAACACAGCCGAAGATTGGAAAGACGTAATCTGGCCCTGCTTTTTGAAGTTTCCCACGAATCTAAGCGACGCGACGCGGCGTGCTGACAGCGCGAGACGCGCACCGACGCGACGCCTACAAACCTAAGGGGCTACTTCACGCATTGCGCAATGCTTGAAGTATTCAGTTAGGTTTGTAGGCGTCAGTGCGCGTTTCGAGCTGGCAGCACGCCGCGCCGCACTATGGAACGAGCCAATAATGGGAGGGTTCGGACATAGCACTCTCCGCATCGGACGCTCCGCAATAATCAGGGTTTCCTCGCAACTGAATGGTTCCAAATCACGTACCCTGTGTAATTTTCATCGTAGATTTCATTTTTGATGGTATTTTTACATTTTCACCAACGAGAAACTATAAATATACCTAATTTATGTGAACTACTACCGTTATCAAATATTAAATACATGTTTAACTTCTTCAATCAAATGTTCACGTTATTTTTCGCGATTAAACATTATATGCTATCTGTGATTGGCTTTAAACGGCCCTATGACACTTGTATACAAGTGTCAAGTATACAAGTATTCTAATTGTGTTTCCTGTTACTTTGTCAGATCATGATCGATATCATTTCCTGAAAACGTTTCATTTCGTTGAGTAAATCTAGGCTTGAGAAATATGAATGTACCCACCTTCAAACTTTTGGTACACTTCCAACGGCGCATCAATGGAATTCAGCAATCGGTGGACCTTACAGACGCTTTTTTTCTTGATCATCGACATTGTACATTGAACCAGAACGCAAATAAAAGTATAATCAAACAAAACCTTCACTTCACGAGAACCGGCCGATTTGTTGTTGTGGATGTTGTTGTTGCTAACCTTACGGATGACGCAATACCTCCTAGATTGACCCAGAAAATTACGATGAATGGTGTTGTGCGGGTAGAGTGACGTGAACTCAACGATTTCATGAAATTAGGAAAAATACGCGCGAAGATTTAATTTTTCCACTATTTTTGCGGACACCGGTACGAGGCGATCTTGATCGCAGAGAAGGATAACGATTTTTCGAGTTCATACTGGTGACATTCGCACTATGTTTTTGTATGGACCCAGAGTCCATACCGTATGAACATCAAGTTTATACACCTGCTTTCCATACACGATATGTTTACGGTACATCTCTGCTCTAGTCGTGAAAGCTAGACGGTATGGACGGAAAGTTTATAACTTGAGTTTTCCAAGCAGTATGGACTCTCACCACATACTCATTTTTTTCAGTGTAGATCGGCAAATAGTGATGTTTTATTTATTTATATTACTAGAAGTGAAAGTGATAAGGGGATGGGAAAGGGGAGCGCGAAGAGATATCTCGTCGGAAGTCGTATGCATAGGAACAAGCTATTTACCTGCATCAGTCTTTCAACATTGCTATTGTCGGATTTTCATTATTCCTTCCCTCAAATTATCAGTCACTTTTGAATTTGATGCAAAATTAATTACAAAACGGGGGTTAAGAAGGAACAACGAAGAAGTAAATTTAAACTTTTTCAAGAATCATCCATTTTTAGGGATTAGAGGACACATATTAAAAGTTTAGCAACAAATTGAAAGTACGTGTCACATATCATTATCTTCGTCCTCGCCATCTCCTTCTAACTCAGTGCTTTCATCACACTCGTTCGCCATTTCACCGAGCCCGCTGTCATCCTGATTTTCCTGAACGTGGAGGGAAACTGCCTCTGCATCAAGCGGCTTTTTCTTTCGTTCGATAGAAGACAAATTGTACCTTACGGGAGAAAAGCGAAAATCAATGTATCTCACGTACGAATACTTTCCTGATAAATAAAATGAGATGAGAGTGAACTCTCTAATTTAGACAGGATCCGCCTCGCACTTACTTTTGGCTAATTTTTGGTCATATTCTCACCATCTGAATCAGGAGAAATTTAAGCAATATTCTGTCTAAACGCGGTGGGAAAGGAGTTAGAAATTTTGAGAGAAAAACTTTCACATCATGTTAGGTATTAAAAATACATCTTACCATGTCAAAAGATCGCATCGGCCCATCTGATTTGATGAAATACCGTTGTCCATCGTACAATAGTTCATCATCTTGTTATTTTGAAAGTTTGTTATTTATATATTCAAATACTGTTGTAGGTAACATTGAACTCAAATTTCTGCCGCATGTTACGTTTCTCATCTTTCGATCGAAAAAGTTTATAGCTTTTGCGGTTTCAGGAACATGTAATGTAATTTTTGGGAAATTGGCTTGCGGAACTAATATGTCTTCTGTTTTTTTCCTCTTTCACAAGTATCTAGTTCGAAATATTGCTCACCTCATTGATGATACAAGTGGATCAGAGTTTATTATTCATAGGTTGTTAAAGAACATCTTGATTGGATACAAGCCTATTCATCTTTCTCGATTTTTCCTTGCGAAATTTTCTGAATATTTTATGCGCTGCTTCGAGAGCCTCTTCAGAAAGTTTACCTAAAACAAATTCAAACACATAAGTCTGATAAAAGTACACTAAACACATCACGGGTGCACGGAAAAAACAAGATTAGTGCTGGGCACTACTGGCCATTTGGTGGTGAGCAGTTGAGGGCTGGCGTCTAAGCGCTGTACAGCTCAACACTGGAAGGCAGTAGAGGTGGGCACTGAACACCAGTAGTGCCGATCGAGAGATTAAATCGTGGGATCATAAAATGTATGTGTAGATGTTTGTAAAAGAAATCAATTTTTTCATAAAAAAGCATATACAACCATAACAGCCAACAAAAATATGTACCTAGTATAAGTCAAGAAAATAAAAGGAAACAAAAAGAAAAAAAAAACACACGCAAACACTTGATATTGCGGTTAAAAGTTCGGGTGCACCAAATATAAGGAATTCTTTCATTTATATCTGCTTTGGTACAAATGTAAGGGAAATTCTTGTCACAAATCTGACGCTGCATACCTAATTACACAATGAGTCTTTGAACAGTAGGTTAGCTTAAGTTTAGCTGGTGGACCAGTATACTCCTCATTTGCTGCTGAACCTGGGGGTTCTAGAGGTACTTGGGTTGAGGGTCCTTCGCTCCCCGATTCTTTCTCTGAGGGTCCTTCATCCTCCTCCTCTGCACAGCTTACCTCTGATTCATGACAGTCTGTCACTGTGGAAAAAAACAAAAATGCATCAGTTGATTACTGAGGCGAATGAAAGGAAAATATTTAGCCACAACAGAAATAAAGGCAATAAATAGGTATAACTACAGAAGCACAAATTAAAGAAAGCACGGAACGGGGAAAAATTGCCAATTAGACATTTTCACCAAAAAATAAAATGAGCTGGTATCTCTTAGTTAAATTTTTTTTCTCTTATGGGCGCTTCTCATCGATATTAAAATGTAAAATGCAGTAATCCCTTTGCAATTAATGCTTGCATTGTGATAGACTGTCCACACATTCACATAGTTTTTGCCCAATCTCCTCGAACTTTTTTAAATTACGTCAACCTTAGATATTCACTGATAAAGCCGAAAACATAAATATAATTCACCTCTTACTGGTGACAATTTAGGGATGATCAAATATTACCACTCCTTAGATACGTCCACAAGACTGGATGCGGATGTGGACGCAGTGTGTATGACAGGATCTTGAGTAGGTTCTGCTTCACCCTGGCAAACAGGAGTCTGAAAGAAGAGTTGTTCGTAAGAGAGGGTAAATCTTGCTGGAATCCGTATAAGTGAACTGACCACCATTAATTTGGATTTTAGAGATTACTAACCGTGCTTAAATGAAAAAAAAAAGTTGTATTTATGGTTCTGAATCTCCTACTTACACACAGAAATTTTAAAATGCCACCGCTAATTATTTTGAAAACAGGGCTGACCATAAATTAAAGAGGTCTAATAGTAAGTAGGTAAATATTTAATGTTCACTGAAAGATAGAATACAATAGTTCCACAGAATACTACTGGTCCACAACAATGTAAGCTGAAGAAAAGTGAAACTCCGGATGATTAGTTACCAAGAAAATCAAGGGTGTCACTACTGCGGTGGATGATGTCAAAAACCGAATTTTTTAAGGCATCATATCTCTGTTAATATTGATCTTAGGAAATTACTATTCGATGAATCTTATTATTTTTAGCTAATCTACTAGAATCAGGCATCAAAACACAATTCAGCCAAGCCACATGAGACCAGCCCAACTGACCCATGTAGCATAAAATGTAGCTTACTACTTAATAAAAATATATTCAAGAGTAACAGTGAAAATTATATTCTAAGCTCCAAAAAATATCAATCAAGCATGTAATCTGACATTCGTACAGATTCAACCGCCTAATTATTGTGATTAGCGACGGCAGATTCGTAAGGTAAGGGTAGCGCGCGACTGCGAAATTCATCAGAAAAAGTGGTGTCACAGTCAAAGTGGCAGATAGTGGCAGCTGATCTTTGTTAATTATCATTCTCGAGGGTCCTCCGAGTGTCTCCATACAAAGGAAAGCTTGGCACAACTATTTAGATTTCTACATAAACTTTTTTTAGGATTTTTGAGATGGGTACCTTTGAACGGGCGTTATGACCTCACCACATAATGTAAAAAACACTTTTAGTAGTGGAAACTGTTCTCTAGACTCTGTAGATTAGCATTAAATGATTGGAATTCACATTAGTGCTTGTTGTGATAAATTAGATGCGGTAGGAAGAATCATAGATAACTCAGCTGAAATTGAAATTCTCGTGACACCCATGTTCGGGGGGCTGTGGCGTGGCAAAGGAAAATAATTTGCCCCAAAATAGTACCAGATCCTCTAAATATAACCCTTAAGGATCACCCCTAAGCTGCCAGATATGGGATTGGCCGAAATCGCCAACCTCTACCATTGACTCGTTCCATAGTGCGATACCTCATTGACAGCTTAGAGCGCCGCATCTCGAGTTCACGCCTTGCACCATCGCGCCTTCAGTTTTCCAGACGCAACACGGACATCCATCAAGCACGAATAGTCGTATCACTGCGCCGTCATCAGCGCGCGTCCTTTCCGTTGCTCTATTTATATGTCGAGTTTGTTCCGTTTGTTTTATTATTTGCAGTGGGGCCCTATGCTGCCGTGCTAAGGATAAACGCCGTATGAACCTTTAGTCGTTGCCGAGTTTCCTGCGATAAAAACCGAATTTACCGAGAAAATTTCTCGTATTATTTTCCAAAATTTTCAGACGCTTTTGTTTGCAATTTAATCTAAAATATAAGGAAAAATATGCATGAATATCGTAAAAAGTATATGTTTCATCAGGCGAAATTCGGCAACTCTTGAATGTTCATACGGCGTTCTTCCTTAGCACGTCAGCATGGGCTACGTAAACAACACAGCCGAACACAGGAGAGGCATAAACGGTCCTCGTGCCTCTTATTTTCGAAATTTGAGAAGAGTTAAGGTGATTCGATGGATGCCATATTTTGTGTCAGAACGGCATGCGATATATCGCATCAATTGGTTCCATTTTTTCAGCTACTCGTCATTTTTCTCCAATTTTGAGATCGCAATTCTGCTGTCAGGAGACTAAAACTCTCTTTTACCAATTTTAACAAAGAAATTCAACGTAATAAAGGCGTGGTTTTTTTAGAGAGAAAATATCGCATTCGAGTGCAGTTTCGATATCAGTATCGAATGCTATGTTTTCTCTCTAAAAAAACCACGCCTTTATTACGTTGAATTTCTTTGTTGAAATTGGTAAGTGAGTGCTTCAGTCTCCTGACGACAGAATTGCGATCTCAAAATTGGAGATAAATGACGAGTAGCTGAAAAAATGGAACCCATCGATGCGATATATCGCATGCCGTTCTGACACAAAATATGGCGTCCATCGAATCACCTTAAGGTTAAGTTTGCTCAAAATACGCTATGACGTGTCCCAATAAATATTCATTCTGATAAAAAAAAAGAGGGCTCTTTCGAAAGTCTGTAAAGGAACATGTCTAAAAATTGGTGTTCTGGCGAGAGTCGTGTCGTGCCAGGGATTTTTTTTTTTTTTCATCCCTAGAAATCGCAAGACGGGTCAAATTGACCCGACGATCTCCTTGGGGGAGTTACATACGACGGATTAGGAGGGTGTGAGAAAGCGTCAGTATGTTACCATGAAGGTGAAAATTTTAAACAAAGTATTTCTTACTTTCAAACATGTAGAGATAACATCGACATTCAAAACTTACAGAGATTAATGTATTCTAATGCGAGTGAATTTGACCCAATTCAGGATTTTGCGCATGAAGTAAGTATTGGGTGTCCAAGGGATAACGAAATCAAATAGGAACGGAAATTTAGATATATCGCAACTAAATTACGAATTTTTGCAGTTTTGCCATCTGTATGTTTCATCTGTGGACCCACAATACTTAGTCATACCCTGTGAACAATTTCCTACGGAGAGTATTCGGAAAAATGTCCATGGGGGCGCATTGCAATTTGGCCCGCGACAAAACCTGGGGTCCCCATGGGACCCGTGAACAATTAATGTCCGCATGGGGGCCTTTGAGAGTGAGGTGTCCCATAGGACCCGTGGGAATTGTTGGAAGTATATTTTGTTGAAGGTTCGCCGGTGACGACCTTAACTGGGTGCGGACGACATTGTTTCTGATAGGAACCTCCGAGAAATTGGAGTCTGTGTCGGATTCGGTGTACACCGAGTTCATGTCTATGTCGTTTAATCTGGGTTCTTCCGATTTCTTCTCGCATGCGCTAGCCAGCGCTTGGCAAAGAGATTCGATTGTAGCGAGGAGTTCCGACATCACACCGTCCATGTCGTTCCTCTGGTCCTTGCTGCATTTTCCCTTCGCTCTTTCGAGCTGATCCATCAGGGTTGTCCTGCGGTTGCTCATGGCTTCTAGCTTCTCTCTTCCCTCTTTTGCCACTCGGGCCAAATTTTCCCTCCAGTCGTTGTCGGGAGGGGGGGGGGGGGGGGGGGTGAGACTTTTCTTTCTCCTTCTCGTGTTTCTATTAGGAGTCCCGTCGTCTTTCCTCGGGGGAGGGACGGGAGGGAAGGTGGATGCCTGAGGCCTCGCTTGCGGTGGCGTGCCTAGCGCGCCGCTAACTATCTCTTTTTGCTTCGGAGTCTCGATTGATGATTGGCGCGAGTTACCATCGTCCCTGCCCTCAAGATTGGAGCTACCGCTTGTTTATGGGCGGAGATTCTCTGGGCCCTTTGGCTTCCCCATGTGGAGAAGATCTCTAATCTGTTCTCCAATGGTGCTTTTTCACCTTACGTTTTGGTTCGGGTTTCATTTTGTCCGCTTGCAGGATGACGATCTGCAGAGAACGCGGACTCCGACCCATCTCTGGGCGGAGATTCTCCGGGCCCTTTGGCTTCCCTATGTGGAGAAGATCTCTAATCTGTTCTCCAATGGTGCTTTTTCTCCTTACGTTTTGGTCCGGGTGTTGGCTCTGGTTTGATGTTGTCCGCTTGCAGGATGACGATCTGCAGAGAACGCGGACTCTGACCCATCTCTGGGCGGAGATTCCCTGCCTACCGGCTCTGGGGGTACCGAAATCCCTTGTAGCAGTAAGTTTATTCATTATTGGTTTGCATTTTCATGAATCGTTTAAAGGGGGCTGCCCTAGTACCAGTTTGTCCTTAGTTTCGCTATTATCAAATTCTTTGCTGTCGGAATCCTTGCCCGTGAGGAGGGTGCGCGTTCCGAATCGCGCACCGCTAGGCTAATGGTGGACTTAATCTTTCGGCACGGCGCTAGTGGGAGCAGAGTTGGCGAGTGTAAAGCCGGGTTTTCCTCCAACTGGCGCAGCGCACGGCGATCGCGTCAAAAAAACGCGGTTCTTGGCGCGAATGGCGCGGCTCTGTTCTCCTCGGAATCTGTCACAGGTGTCGTGCGCTGAGTACAGCGTCGGCGCGCTTTGACACTGTTTTTCGTGTTTGCCTAGTTTTGCAGCGATGAGAACCCACACTTTTTCTCTCTTGATGTTGTTTTTATATTCCGGGCATTTGGGGTTGAAAAGTAATGGGTGCTTCCCAATTTCATTAAGTAACTCCTCGTCCTCTACTGGCGTGAGGGTAACTTCGGTTGAAGTCATGGTGCAAACAATCAATCAAAATAAAAATCCACGTCTGCTCTTCAGCAGAAACAATAGAACACTGGAATGTGATCTGTGATCCGCACTTGGCGTCCAGACAGGACGTATCCAACAAGTTTCATACCGTCGGTCAAGTTGTTAATTCCGTGGACAAGTGGTGAAATTCACCTAACGATGGTCTTTTAAGAAAAATGCTATGCACCGAATACTGTTTCTCATATTTACTTGCTTCCGCTCCTGCAATCGCCACTATGAGATCTTCTTCAGATGAAGAATTCATCACACGGTGAAGTAACAAAATAATATTTCACCAACACACACCGAAGTCCGCTCGCGCACGCTTCTCTTAAATATAATTTAAAAAACCAATGAAAGTGCACGGACAGCTACGACTCGGTGTAGGACGCAGTGAGTTTGAAATCTTCTTGGTCGTTTGTCGGTTGTCGGCGGTCGTCGGACGTTGGTCGTTGGTCGTTCCGTTCCGCTCTCAGTGAGTTTCCACCTTACTCACTGAAGTTCTCACGGTCGGAACGGCCCGACCAACGACCACCGGCCGACGACCGGCAAACGGGCAACGGAAGATGTTCAAACTCACTGCGCTTGACCGCGTCGTTTGTCGGATGGTCTACATAGGTAATTAACCAGCTCAATACAGTGTTTTGTTGAACCCATAAAATGATATTAAACAGACTGAAAAATATATCATGAAAAGAAGACACTCATTTAATTGCGTGAAAACTTCAGCGCTCTTGAAATTTCTTTCCAAGCGTTTTCCTTCATCGTGAGATCATGATACCCCTTATCAGAGGCGTTGTACAAGAACTCATAGTTCCTTACATTTTCAATAAGAAGTTCCTCGTTCATTTTTGGAGTTTTTCTTGGAGGTTAGTTCACACATAAAATAGAAAAACACAGCATCAACACTCAAAATTCTGGGACAGACTGACTGTCGGACGGTTGCCTCTATTCTAGTTGCCGGTGTGACGGGTGTCTCCCACGTCCGCACCTTTATCTCTTATATAAAGTCATACGACTTACCCCGCGACCCCCAGAACATCGGTCCCCGTCACGCCGTCCCAGCGCGTCCCGCGCCCTTGGTGTTCGTTCGGCTCTGTTTTCTCTGATTGTATGTTTCATACGTGCGAAGCACGTACGGGTCGCTAGTGATGTTAGAAAATCGTAGGACGACGCTAGGTCGCCCCGTTCAATATTGTGGGTAGCGTATGCGGCTTACACCCGGTAGGCGAGCCTATCGTGATGCGCAAGCACGCCAGGGGTACGAGCTGCGATCCGCGGACTCAGGACTAGCCCGGAGTCCCGATCGTCGCCGGAGGACCCCCTATCGGTACTTACCAGTGTTCGTCGTTACGGGTAGAACTCCGCCGACCGGAGTCGGGGATAAGACAGCACTCCCGCAGCGACTTCCCTTCTAACGGCCTTGGGGGCCGGGTAGGGGCCGGTGCACTATGGTCCGAATAGCCGGTTTAAGCGGCATTAAATCAGATACGTATGTTTAAACCTCGCAACATGAGTTTTCAGGGGTTTTTAGGGTCGCTGAGTGCAAAAATGCTAATATTCTTCAGGAAAAATCCATTTTTAACATTTTTATACTTTATATAACTGTGGTAATAATTTGTTCACAAACCTTAAATTGATGTCAATATTTCCGAGTTGAAGCGGTGGAGCAATTGGCATCGCGTCTCCCTCATCTTCTTGATGTCCCGGGTTCGATTCTCGGTAAAATTTTTTTTTTTTTTTATAAGTTTAAAAATTAATTTTACATTGGATGGACTATAAGAAGCTAAAAGTAGAGCCTCGTCAAACACTACTACCAAGGGAACTTGAAAAAGACAGCTCAGGATAATACTTCTACGTTTCATGGCTCCAGAGGCCTACTTTCAAGTCCCACCGATCAGCCGTTTGAACTTTTTTTCGTCTGCCAAGCGAAACTTAAGCTTAAATATATCCATTTTGATAGATTATTTGTTTGAAACATGGGTAAACGTAAAAAAAAAACGTTTACGGGACCTCAAAGTGGCTTCCTAAGACAATTTCATTGCTCGGGAGCCTTACTTTCAAGTCCCACCGATCAACCGTTTAGACTTGTTTTCGTCTGCCAAGCTAAACTTATGCTAACATATATCTACACTGATAGATTATATGTTTGAAACACTTAAAACGTCAAAAAAAAAACTTTTACGGGGCCTCAAAGTAGCCTCTCGAGGCGATTCTTTGCTGTTCTTCAGCACAAAGTTTCAATTGGTCCCGATCAACCCCATCAACTCGTATTATTCTGACGGGGCAGATTTAGGCTCTAATGCATTCGATTTGCTAGAATATGACAATGGAACATGATAAAAGTCATCGTCAATGGCATATGATAGCTAATTGTAGTAAGTGATAAGAAACGCGAAAACGTCATTTTTCATGAGAAATAACTTGAGGCTATGGTGGACTATGGTTCTGCCACTAGACTAAAAGATAGTCTAGAGTCATGACAATAACTTCCGAGTAAAATTACGAGGTGCTCAGAGGTGCTAAGTATATTTTTTAGGTCCTACTTCTGCGATTTTATTGATAAAACTGACTATGTCTAAGGGTTAATCTAGAGCATTAGATATGATAAAAAAGAATAGTTTCAGCATAAAACATTTTAAACTTATCTTGTATTTTGTGAATCAAGTGCCCAAACACTTTCAGGTACGGTGAAACGACGAAAACAAGCCCTTAAACACAGCACTGCCGCTCGGTAACTGGAATCGCACTCATAAAGTGCTCCGCGCGCCGCACTTCCCAGGCATGTCACATCTTTATTAGTGCTTTAATCGAAGTGAAATTTTACAGGACTCTTCTCTACAGTATGTACTATCGATCTACCTCTTAAAATCTAACTTTTTCCAAACTTCACTTTTTCGATTTATTGCCGCTTAAACCGGCTATTCGGACCATAGTGCGGTGCCGCGAGCTATAATACCGGCCCCGCTTCGGGACTTGGAGAATTTTCCCGTAAGAAGAACGTTCAGAGGGCGGCCGTGGCCGCCCCGTCAAGAGATTAGGGCACGAGCGGTGCGTCGGCCCCGCTTCGGGATTTCGTAAAATTTCCGTCTTTAACGGTACGTTAATGGGACGATCGGGACCGCCCCGTCGGAGCTGCGGGCCGATTATTGAAACTGATGGACAAAGCGATAGACAAAGAAGACATAGGAGGTATGGAGCGATCTTATTGGTTGCCATGGTTGGTTCTTATAGACTAAGGAAGAAAATAATGGACTAACTGTCGGGTCTTCAGTAGGTTGCCGTTAGTTAGTCTATTATCTACCTCCTATGTCCATTGCCACCACCTGCTTCCACCAATAGGATCCCTCCACATCCCTTTTGTCGTCTTTGTCTATAGCTTTGTCTTTAAGTTTCAACAATCGACCCGCTGGGGCACGAGCGGCGATCAAGAACCTTTGGCCGGAGTCGCTGGACTCGTCCGCCGCCGGAGAACCCAGTAACCAGTCAGGTAAAAAATAGAATAAAATTAAATGGACACAATTCACAAATGAAAATAACTTTACTTTCCTCTTAATCTTTCATCTTAACTTCTCCGTTCTCTGTTGTATCTTCCTTCGGAACTTCTTTTTCATAAGTATAACGAGAAAGCATGAATGTGATTTACTTTCACCGCATCCGGTGGTCCTCTGAAGTAATGTGCAATGTGTTATATCCTAAAATCAGCAGTTCTGAACCTAAACGATCATAATCATAATCACTGGATTGTCATAAAAGCAATAAAAAGAGAGTAAAATATGAACACTAACGAGTCGAGTCCCTGGACGACGTGGAGGTCTCCATGAAAATCGTCGGGGGTGGAGGAAGCACCTCGGGGCTTGCCCGTACACGAGCAATCAGGCGTGCCCGCGGATCTGGAAACATAATAATAAACGATACTTTAAAAAAAATGAAAAAAAAAATCCCTATCATGAAATTTAGTGGTATCTGGCTGCGACGCAGCCGCGAACGGAGCCTCCGACTTTAAAGAAAACTATATCCCAAATCCTCGGATGATGAAAAGAGAGAACTGAACGAGAGTTGCGTGAGACATAACGAGGTGTATTGATAAGAAGTACAAGGTTGCCCTGCAGGCTGTGACACCTAGTAGCGCCAATATGCACTTCTCGATACATGCTACCAACTGATATTTGGACGTATTTCTACCAAACAGACCTATGTGGAGGTGAGAAATATGGGGTGTGCTCTAGAAAGCTGCATAAGAAGCAATGTAAAAGTGACGTGATTCCTTTTGAAGAATTGGAAAAGCGGGATTTTGCATTCTATCAAACAGACCTATGTGCCAACTGAATGCGAGATTCATGAGCCGCGGGCATGGCACGAGAACGTTGTGGACAGGGCTCACGAGTTAAAGCGCCCCGATGGCGATCGCCCTCGCGCGCGAGCGCACTATCATTGCCGCTGACGTCACTGGCGCTTTATTATTCCCATTCACTCTTACGGCCAGAGAACTAACGAGCACACCCCACATTTCTCACCTCCACATAGGTCTGTTTGGTAGAAATACGTCCATTTAATACAATGTACGATTGGTTTTCAGGTTAGTCGAGGCGGACGTGGCTGCAGCGGCCGTGCTCATCTCAATGGGTGCCGTCCTGGGCAAGACCACCGTTTTCCAGCTCATCTTTATGGCCCTCGTCGAGACGGCCCTATACGTGACGAATCTAACCATTGGTATTGACCATTTGCAGGTTAACACTCAATTACCTAATGCTAATTTTTTCCTTGCCCTCGTTTTTTTATCGCCGCGCGCTCGGAGCACGCGCTACGCAACAGCGGCAGCTTCATTTGCTTTGCCCTTGCTTTATTGCAAACAAGGGTTGAATCGAAAGCGAAACGGTGGCTTTCGGAATTACAACTAGCTCCGGAATTCGATTTGTGGCGTGAACGTGCATATGTGTGTCTGGTTTACGAATCTAGCTGTTGCGAGGTTTTCCCGGCTATGAGGAATTGCGCTGTCGCTGCTGCGTATGCGGATTTTTTTTTGTAATTTATTTCCTCCTTTGTTGATTTGTTTGTTCGCTTTTTGCTCCCTTTTTTTCATTAGCTTCACAGGTTTGCTTTTGTCTCATATTAGTGGTTTTAGCTCGACGCGAAAACACTCTTCTTAATCTAGTTTCATTCCATTTGCGGTAGATTTGGCAAACGCAATCCACTTTCCTGCCGATATTAACGTCCCAGGTCCGAATGACGAACTGAAATGATGAGTAAGGCAAACTGGAACTCATCAACTCAAGTTTATTGGCGCAAGGGGTGGAATGATGATCAGCCACGTTTTAAAAGCTTGCATGGAGCAGTCTTTAAAATCGTAAATCCTCTATCTATTGCACCGAGAAAAAAGCGTCCGTCAGATTAACTGAACTGTAGTAAATTTTCCTCGCACTGAAGTTTACAGAAAAGCTTTCAATTTAAATTACGGTAGTAACAAAGATGAAATCCAATTTCGATTTTTCAACATCAGCACAACATTCAACATTTTCGGTTTCCTCTTTCTGACTTTTTTTATGTAATTCTCCAGGGAAAATCCACATGGAATTAGTGTGAGTTATTTCAAGAACCAAGGCGTCGTATAGTTATTGTTTGTTTCCGTAATTACTTAAGCTTTTCGACCGAATGGTCATCAGAGCTTCATGACGTAAGCTTCATGGTGGAACCTCCCCCTAATCAGTGCAATCAGGGATTTGTCATACGTGTACCTACTCCTACAGTTTTCCTATGGCAGTTGCTATGTTTACTGAGAACGTATCAATAAATATCAGACATAATGTTCGGTAACTTACGGTTTCCACCATGGGGCGGCTAATGTTTTTTGCATCCTTTTTGTCTGAAAGAATGCTGAAGAAGTTTGTTCCGTCGAAGAGCACTGCCCCGACGTTCGTTCTCTCCAGAGCGTTGATTAATTGCGCGGAGTTTGTAGCCGGGAAAAAAACAGTCATGGGTAGCGCGCTTGACATGCTTTTCAATGAAGACTTATTTACAAAATGGATTGTTTTATCACCTTCGATGGTAGCAATTTCAAATTTCCGGGGGTGAACTGCCGGTTGATCATAAATAATCCATATTACCATCCATAATACCAGAACCTCCAAAATTCGTCTCTCTGCGGCTGAAAACAAAGTAAACAGAGATGTTTTACTACTAAGCAGAAGTGAACATAATTTCACCAAAAACCGCTTATTAATGTTAGACATGCTTAAGCATCCAGTCCATTCCTGGAGATACTTCTCATAGCAACCAACCATCGATACTTGTAATCCTACAAAGACTTATGTTTTCCAGTAACGACTCTCCATTCAATTTTCGATTCGAAGCAGCAGCGTTAATTATTGGTATGAAACTCCGACTCGTTTCAGTAATTTGTCTATCATTGACAACATCAGTAAGGTAGAGGTACCAGTTTGTGACACCTTAAGAGAAATTTTGACCTAGATATGCTCTTAGAAATCTAATAATTGATGAATTTTAACTTTTTTCTCACCGTATGAGAGAGGGAGTCTCCCAGATTATGAATAACCTTACAAATATTATGTTTCCTTATCAAAATTATTAGAAAAACTGGGAGGCTGTAAACTGCCACCCATTTCCTGGAAACATGGACAACTGCCCCCCGTATAAATTTGAAAACTGCCACCCGACTTGACAACTGCCCCCCGTGTAAATTTGACAACTGCCACCGGTAGTGACAACTGCCACCGGTAGTGACAACTGCCACCCGTTGAAATTTGACCAAGGAGCGCGATTGAGCGGGGTCGCACAGTTTACCAAACTTTCCTTCACACTTGGACAGGCTGAGGACTGTCTACTGAAAATCAACACATTATAAGAAATTGAGCAGTGTCTGTGATGATTTTCAATAGGCGTGTTTAAAAGTTATTTTTTAATACAATTTTTTTAAAAATTTTTATTATGGTGAAAAGAGGTCAATGGGCTCTTAGTTGAAAGTAGTGAAAAATTGTAAAAAGTATTTTTACAGTAATTTACAGTATTTTTATAGTAAAAAATAGTTAAAAGTAGTAAAATTTTAGTAAAATTACAGTCAAAGAGTACATCACTACTAGGAGCTTTTTTCATCATTTGGCATTACTCTTAGTTGAAAGTAGTGAAAAATTGTAAAAAGTATTTTTACAGTAATTTACAGTATGTTTATAGTAAAAAATAGTTAAAAAAATCCAAGACCTATGATAGGTGATTTCTACGTATTTATTCCATAATCAGCATTTAATATCAAGTTAACAATCAGGTAGTGGAAAAAAGGGAAAAAGTTACCTAAAGTTTACGATATTTTACCATTTCTGGTACGCTTCAAACCCCCCTACTATTGCGAACTATTGGGGGTTGGATTTTCTGCTTTATGTCAGATATATCATACTGGCAAATGTCATCTCTCTCCGGCCACTTCCAACCATCAGGCCCTGCCATTGACATTGCTTTAATTTTGGCCCCAGTTTTTGTAACGTCTTGTACGATACCTGGGAAATATTCCTCTTCATACTGAAAAATTACGTATTCATCTTTTTTCAAATTTCTCAACTGCGAAGAATCTTCTACAGCATCGGTTTCGTCAGTGTCATCTGTCTCGCTAGTGTCTGGTTCGTCAACGTCTTCAGAAGCGTCATCACTTGAGGATTGGAATAAGCGACGACGTGGCTTTGTTTGGTCGGAAGTCAATTTACCAAAGTCAACAGCATGTATGTCCCATGGTACAAGGCCACACTTTCTAAATCCATTCATTATGATTTCAGGATTTAAGGCATCATTGATCACTCTTTCTAGTAAAGAACAGAAATTTTCTTTCTTTAATTGACGTCCATCGTTGCGTAGACGCCATTCAGCCACTCGTTCTCTCCGTGTAGCTTTTGAAGTACGAAATACGGCTACGTCCATGGGTTGGATACAATGCGTGGCATTAGGGTGTAAGGCAAATAACTCAATCCCTAATGCACGGCGCAAGTCGGAAGTGTGAGGGGAAAGGTGGGATGCATGGCCATCAAGGAAAAATAAGATTGGTCGTTGAATTTTATTTTTCTCCAGGCAAGGATGTACAATATTTCCAATATATTCGTAGAATATCGGACAGGTCATCCAGCCGCTGTCTGAGCGGCCTAAACCCCAAGACTTAGGAACAGAGGCAGATATATTGACTGGTATACGTTTGTACTCAAATACAATCATTGGAGGAAGCTGGGCACCGGCAGCGTTTGCACCCATCATGACAGTTAAGTTTTCTTTTTCATCAGTATTAACAACTGAATACACGTTTTGGGCCCCTTTTTTTGGCTAATATAGTGCAAGCGGATCCTCAAGATATGGATCCAGTTGATACTGTTTAAGGGATGTGGATGAAGATTTCATCAGTAATGTTGAAGTTGAAATTGCGGAGCAGCCTCAAGATAATTTCTCTGTAATAAGTGCAAGTGAAGTACTAAAAGCAAACGCGAGGGATACACCTAATAATGATTTATCAAAAGTAGATACAATCGACAAAACCACGGCTGATTTAATGAAACCAAGTACAAGCAGTCAAGGGCAGAAGCATAATCTACCAACAACATAGAAAGTTGATGATTCTGAAACAATCATTGTATCTGAGCTAGAAACCAGTCGTAAAGAAACTGACTGTAACAAAAATTTACAAATTAATGTTCCAGATAAGTCTAATAATTTCAACAAAGACATACCAACTCCGTTCAAAAAATCCTTTCACTGGCCCGAACAAGAGAAGAAGGGTGGGGAAAAGGGTAAAAATTCTAAGGAGAAAGAACTCTAACACTGGGGGCTACCCAAAAGCACATGCTCCTGCGGGTACCCCATAACAAAAAAAAGTATAATCAGCTAGAACACAAAAACAAAAAACGTGAACATAGGTAATACCATGCCTGACTCCTGAGATTCGAAGTAAAAAACAATAATTCTTTTCTTAACCATGAAATAATGACAAGAAAAGAAGTCATGAAAAGAAAAGACAAATACCTTCAATGTCAACAGAGAACACTTGCAAAACTATAATACAGAATCAATTTCATCACTATCTTGGTTTTCTGCTCGCTTGTCTTCCTTTTCGTCATCATTTGAAGTTTCTTCTGGCTCTTCTATTTCGATTCTGGACAGAGCATTAAGAAGTGGAACGTCTGGAGAACTGGAGAGTCGCCCTCAAGGTTTTCTAGAAAATCATCATCAACTTCTTTCAAAGTCCAAGATTCATTCGGTAGTCGGGTTGTTTTCAGACACCCTTGCTGGTGGGACAACAGTATCTTCATTTCCAAAAGTTTGGATGGTGTGACCAAACATTCTTCGTCCACCGATTCTAGCAAGTTCTTATTCATGGTAAATACTGCCGTATGGTGTTTTCCCTGAATGTAAAGCTTAATTCTCTGCTTAATTTCAGTAGGAAGAGCATGGCCATTCGTTCCACCCACGCCTCTTACGTATCCAAAGAAATTTCCAAGAGGATCTTGGTTTAGTTTGCTTGTTAAAATATACTGGACGCCATACTGCTCCTCGACGCACATAAATAATTCCCTCAAGGCCTTAACATTCTGGAGCATTCCGTTCTGGAAGGGCAAATAGGTTCCCGCATTTTCACCTCTTTTCAAGATTTTAGTTTTTTCATCTTACCCATCACCTTCACTTAACTGTCTAACTCTTTATTTTTATTTTCAAGGTCTAAACTCAAAAATTTTCTTGTCCTTTT